TTCAAAAACGTTAAGCAACCTCCCAATTTATAGTGGTGAGAAAATACTGAATGAAAGATGTTGTTGTTAAACTTTGTACAATTAAATCTACAGTTATACTGAACCGATTTTATTAATTAATAGGTCATTGGTAAGCCTAATTTGTGTAGATTTGCAAATAATTATGAAAGTTTGATTTTTTTAAAGATTGACTAGATGAAACCCGTCAAAGTCGACAGTTACTGTTGAGGTTGCAAGCAAGATAGTTTGACTATAAATCGATGATAAATAACTCTATTTTTTGAACAATTTGTGTTGTTCGTGATTAAGCTGTGTCCTTTAGGTACGTCCGATCTTAATAATCAATAAATCAAATGGAAGCTGGTATTTCACTGAAGGTTCTTAGGTCAAAACAAATAGAATAACGTAATTTGAATTGAGTAAAAATATCACAAACTAAATTCCACATCCAAGATATAATCAAATTTATGTTTTCTGATTGAGCGATACAGTATCTTGAAGTTAACTGATTAAAACAGTGCTTTAGATACGATTATTAAGATCGGAATCTTAATAATTAATAGCTCAAATGAAAGCTGGTATTTCACTAAAGGTCTTTAGACCAAAACATATAGGGTAATTTAGTTAGAGCTGCTGAAATACATCTTTAATTGAAGTAAAAAAAAATTAAATTTTTTCGTTGGGTAATACATTAAAAAAATTAATGATTATGTTTGATCACAAATATTTGCTTGCATAACTTTATTTTAAGACCAAAATTAAGAAAATGGGATGGGCAGAAGAGCCAAACGAACTTGAAAAAAAATTAACTCCCATAAGAAATGTACAGGGACACATTTTGTGCATAACTCGAAATATACGTAAATAAAAATGAATGCCGATTCTTGATTGCAAATCTGTAGTGCGTCCATACCTTTAGTTTGAGGCCAAAATGATGAAAATCGGTCGAGTAGAAGCGCGCGAAGAGCTAACCCGACTCGGAAAAGAAACCCCAAATATTATTATAGATGGCCATAGGTGGTTTATCAGTATTCATAATCTAATCATACGAAACCTTTTGTGTTAATAATTAAACGGCTTATTGTTATTTGATTGATTTGTCTTTAATTAAATGTTGTCGTTAACAATTTGCATTTGTGTTTAAAGTAAATTATCATTCTAATGTTATGTGCTTAATCTGTACCATTAATATTAGTGAGTAAAGTGGTGTATGGATTTCAAAACCATTAATAATCGTGTAATAGATATGATAATTGAATAATTATTTTTCGTAGCCAAGCAAGTGTACGGTAATTTGTACAATTACTACTTTACAGAAAACGGTCTCATTAGTTAGCCCGCAATACAGCAGTGTTTTGGTAAAGTATCTTACATTTTGCAGGCGTATTTACGAGTGAAGTAGTCTCCAGTTGTCCGCCGCGCCATTTGGTTAGGTCGGCCAAACCAAACTGTGCGACTCAGAGGCAAGTGGGAGGGATTGTTGGTCTCATGCTCCGCCGGCCGCAGACCTTGCGGAAACTAGCGCGGGGGAGATTGACCGCGGTGGACCTAGGTATGACTCCGACTAAAGTAGCCATATGACAGTTTTTTGTTTACAAAAAAAAATGTAAACAAGAGAATCATAAGGTATTTATGAACTTCCTAGACTTTTCTTGTAAACGTTTTAAACCATGAACCTATTTGTGTTGCCAGCTGATTAGAAACAGGCAATGTTAGAAATCAGGATTTAATAAGCGATATATTGAACCGAATCGAAATCGATATTTAATCCGATAATACATCACAGGTTATATTATGTTGAATTACATCGACGGTGCAGTAAGTTATTACACTTATTAATAAAACGCAGATTGAACACTGACCTAATTTATGCATGTGGGGAAGGTAGGTCGGGGTTTATAAGTATTCGTGACTACATTAAGTGTTTTGAAGTAAGGTTAGATTAGGAAGGTAAAGTGTAGGTTATAGGTAATTGATCGAGTTGTTTATTTGTGTTGCACCAAATTAACTGATAATATTTTCCTGGTCAAAACTACCATCATGTACTTTTGGAAGAGGTATCTGAATAACAAGATGTAGTAAAAACAAATCTGAATTATTATTATTTTAAACCATAAAACCAGCATTAGTACATCTATTGACTTTTTTACATTTAGTTACTTATACAAATATCAAATCACGTTTGTTCCGCTCAACTGGCTTTCACCTCTCTGAAAGCAACCCTAGTATTAAAGTACCGAATAGGTACTTAAAATGCAAAGGATGATGGGGGTGACAGAGATGACTGACTCAAGTCGTCAATCGTCACGGAGGTAGCTAACAGCAGAACTGAAACTGATTACTGAACTGAACTAGTAAGTTATGACTCCTGACTCCTGAGTCGACTCGTTGAAGACCAAATACAACTGAATTGGTTCTTTCTGGCGCATGCGCAGTAGGCTAGTCCAATTCCTGCCTTGAAACGCTCGCCACTTTTCCTAACTCCCTAGATAGATTAGATATTAGAAGTACCCATCGACATATAAAACTAACTGGATCGGCTGCTAGGCTCCGCGACCCGAGCCAACGACCGGGGTTGCGTTTCAGATTTTGCAGGCGTCATGTGGGATTAAGCGTCTCGCTGCGCCACATCTTAGCATTGTCGCGGCCAGGACGATGCACTTTATCCAGCCCTTTACTCTCTACTAAAACGATGTAAGGCATTTTAATAATCAATTTTCATGAACTTTTGTACAAGTAATAAAAGTGTAAAAATAACCCTGTAAATAACCGAGTTTTTTTAGTTTTTAATTACAACAATTAATAAATATTAACTGACGGCGGATATTTCACACTGAGGTTCCTTAACAAATATAATTTAAATTCCGATTTTAATTTTTTTATGATGGAATCTATATAAATATAGATTAGATACAAATAATTTATCGTTGGTGTTGCACCTTATTACAGCCGTATTCAATTTAATTGATGTCTTAACTGTATAAGTTTTGCTTTTTCTGTCTGGATTCCAAAATGTTCGTTTATGCTAAGACAATGATAACTCATTTTAGTAAAACATTTGTTCAGCAAACCATAATGAATCTTTACGATTTACGTTGTTCATGTATCAATAGTTCGTGGCCTATTTTGGTAATTTGTATTATAAATTACCAATCTAAATCGTCTAATAGTACTTCATTTCATATTGTAAGCCGTCATTTTGACAGCATTTCGGGTCATCCTCGGTCTCAGCAAATAAAAATTGTTATGATAAAATTTTATGATTTTGAGAAAGATTTCAAATACTAATTTTATATGTACTTGTTATGCTTGAAGCGTTGCAAATTCCTTAATTAAGTTCTGTATTTTTGTGTGTATGTCTGTTGCTAACGCATTAGTGTCCTTTTTCTCAATGTCACGAAAAAAAGGTAATGAAAATGTCAACCCGAATAAAGTGTTAAATGGTGAGGTTGAGGCAATACTTTAAATACTTTTAGCCATTGTGGAACTAACTTTCAACTATAGACTTACCTTAGGGATATGCCTCATAGATCTAGGCCTATAAAGCTCTTTTTAGTTTAATCATTGGATTTAACATATGGACCAACACGAGCCGCGTGACATTTAATTGCGAAGCATTTGTTTTGGCTTAAAACTATCAGATACTGTATTTGCGAAGGTTTATTAGGTAATAGTTTTGCCAGCATAATCTGAAAATATGCAAACCAACTGCTGTTCTTAATATAAGAAGGTTTCAACTGACTACTATAAGAGCCCCGTGCGTAGAACGGGCACACAGCTGGTAAAAGTAATAAAATATTACAATTAAGAAACCTTTACGACTTTGTTCTTTCTTCACTTACTACTCTAACGAAACCAACTATGTTTCAATGTTACAATACAAAATAGTTTATGTTAAAATGGGTTTTATCAGTTTCTCGTAAAATACCAAATATTCTGGGGTAAGGTATTAGTAAGAACGAGGTTAGATATTATAAGAACATTTTATTTAGGAAACTTTGTAAAACAAAGAAACATATTTAGCCTAAACATTGCTAAAAAGAATAAGCTTATTTAATTTCTGCCGCATACCAAGCTTTGACAGATAAGCTTCTGCTGTTTTACGCTTAGAAATGCTGTGGCATATAATTTTGTTAAACATAATAACAATTAATTTGATTAATTTCATGTCATGGCTTTCCTCGCCAAATTCATTATTACCTTTATGATTAAGAAAAACGTTACCAGCAAAGGTTCTACATGCTAACAAAATAGTTTTTGAGGGAGGTTATTGTAACACGCACGTGCGCCCAAGGTCAAGTGTCGAAGACACGGTTTCGCGCGCTATATCCCACATGCTGCCTTCAATTTGCCCATGCGGCAACCCCGATACACTCCTGTATTGGCTCGGAAAGTTCTACACGACCCTTACGGCCACTGAGCTAAAATTATAACTGGAGGTAGCACTGCCATGGCAGAAGTCTGTCAAAAGCGTGTCGCTGATTTTGTTAGGTTGGTATAGCAGTAAGTTTTCTTACCATAGCAATAACATGGCTTCTATAACTAGGTTGGTATAGCAGTGAGTATTTTTGTCATACTTGAATACTTTTAATACTTTAATAATTTTCTTTGAAATGGCGACCATACAAAGTAGGTATTTTAAGCCAAGTATAATAATAGTTATAGCAATAATATGGCTTCTTATGACACCAGACTCACGCAAACATGGCGGCTGGCGACACGCATCTTTGACATTCAGTGCTACCTCCAGTTAGAATTATAGCTCAGTGCTTACGGCCTGCGCGCAATCCAGTTAGTTTTATATGTCGATGGAAGTACCCGGGTACTTTTGTAACGGGTATTTAAGATTTTGAGTAACCGTTACTCCCCGTAAAAGCAAGTACCCGTTACAAAGTAACCGTTACAGTTACTTGGACACATCTCTAAGCCAAGAGCCAGCAGCAGGCAGTGAAGGCAGTGAGTGACATTTTTTTAATACAAATGTCAATTTTGTCAACAGAATGATGATATTATTTATTTTATTTTGGTTCAACATAAAAATTGTTATTGCTTAATATTTTGTTTAACTGCATAGTTTGTGAAGCGAAGAGTTTCCATAAGTTACATACAGGTAACGTAACGTAGTTAACGAAAACGTTTCACATCTTGGCGAAAATTAATTTAAAAATTTTAAACATTTTAAAATTGATAGCCTAAGATAGGTAAAATGCCTGATTATACAGCGAACTAGAGGCATAAAACTGGTTTTCTAAAGTGTAGTGTAAGGATCCATATATGCGGCATAAATATTAACTTTACAACATTTCTTCTTCCATAGGAATTCTATTTTTAAAATATATGACTTGGGATCTATCTGAGAAACCAATCAAGTTTAGGTTAGGTGTTAAAAAACATCAGTTAAGTTTCCCTTAGCTTTTTTACTCAAGAGCTCCAAGCTTAAAGACTCAGTGGAGTGATGAGCATTTTTCTTTCCATAATTCTTTTTGAGAATATTTTAATATTGATTGTCACATTTTTTCGGCTAAGGGTAGGCCTACCTAATGAAAGTATAGGCTAAGTTACCTTAGTTTAGGCTAGTTAGGTAGGTACTTTAAAGAGATTACAATAAAGAGAAATAAATATGTGAAATAAGTTACGCCTTAATAGGCCTATAGCCTAAGCCACAATATCTTACTAATATTTTAAATGTGAAAGTTTGTGTGTTTGTTTGTTTGAAGTTCAATCACGCATGAACTACTGGACGGATTGGGCTGAAATTTGGCATGATGATAGCTTACATTCCCGATTTACATATAAACATATTCTTTTCTCAATAATCCTTTCGGGCTCCGCCCCAGTGGCTCTGTAGTTCCCCATGTTAACGTTATGAGTATTCATATTCAAAGGGAATTAAAGAATTTTGTCAGCTGTTACAACTAACAAAGTTGGTTCTATGATATCAAGGCCACACTAAAAAACAGGCCGTAATGCTCGTCAAGCATGACGTCACGATAGAAGACGGCAATGACGTAATTAAGGTTATATTTTTGTTTTCGATGAAAAGATTAAAACAAGCAGCTGATCACAATCGGCAAACATTACGTCATTGCCGGCTTCTATCGTGACGTCATGCTAGACGAGCATTACGGCCTGTTTTTTTAGTGTGGCCTTGATGATATGCAAAAGAATTTAAAAGTTATAAGATTTACCAACAGGGTGCAGCACTAATATTTTTTTCATTCATGAAAACAGCAATTGAACTACTTAAGCAGCAACGGACAACTGTGATACACAATGAGAACTGTATAAGTAGGATTGTTTACAGTTATGTTTATGTTTTTAATTTCATGAATAATTTGTGATATTTTGCAAATTTTTTGTAATTTATTTTTCTCTATTGTTGAGATGAAATGGTAGAACATTATGGCTATCGTAGATCTGTAATACTAGGCTATGGTATACTGTAAATTTAAGTAAGTAAATTTGATCAAACTGTGTCCTCCCCCATTGCAAACGCAAAGCTCGAGTATAACTGCAATAAGCATTTTATACTTATATGCCAAGTATTATCTAGGTTACGTACTGTTTTGACTGTATAAGGTACGTAACCTAGATAATACTTTGAATTCAATACTCATTCAAAAAAAATAACTGTGGTTCAGGAGGCAAAATAATGAATAAATTATATGCCAACCCCGTACGAAGGACGTGTACTCTGCTAGTGTCTTAATACTGTGGCTTACAGCAAATAACATATTTTGAACTTTATCAACCAACATTCTATAGGGTATAACATCTGGGCCTAAGTATTTCTATGAATTTGAATGATCAATACGTTAGATTTTCTAGAACTTGCCAAAACAACCATAGGCCTATTAAAGATCTGAAAACAGCCAAAGCAAAGGCAGAACTTTGATACGCCTCCATCGTATGATCGAATACCAAACTATCGATACCTATAGCATAACTTAACGAAAAACCAAACTTCTATAAGTTATTGATTATAACAATTGATAACTAAGTTATGATAAAGTCAGATCCAGCCTATTAAAGTTTTGAGTTGATTCAATGATTTATTTAGACCATTAAGCAAAAGCAATAGGCTAAGTCACTTACAATACAAAGTAAATAATAAATAGTCCATCTCTTGATTCACAAATAAATGAAAGTTAGATAAATATAATAATAAGGAAACAAATAAAACCATGCAAAACAAAACTGTAGCAAAACCATGCAAAAAAAAAAAAAAAAAAAAAACAGGCAAGAAAATAGCCATGCAAGGCAGTGCATGAGCATTACCTATAACAAAACTGGTAGTCCTACTTTAAAAAATTCAGACAGGTCATAAAAAGGGTTTTCTATCAACCAGTCCTTCATTACTGCCTTGAACCTTGAAATAGGCAAGTCCCTTAAATGGCTACTGTTAGATTGTTGAAAAATCTGTAACCTGAAACAGGGAAGCATTTAATTGTTCTGCTCAGCCTGTGTCTATGCGCGAAACTACAATACAAAAAAATCTGGCATTTATCAAATTCAGCGTGGCAGTTGTGAGATGAAGTATGTTGGACAAACAAAAATAAATATAAAAACTAGATTTAAAGAACACACTTCTCACATAACACACAACAGACCTGAAAATCAGCAATAGCAAAGTATTGTTTAGAAACGCACCACACAATATCAATAAAAAATACTAAATTACTAAAAAATAGAACAAAATCCGATGAACTAAACGCATGGGAATCATTATTTATAAATAAAAAGGACAATTTAGTAAATAACGAAAATGGTCCAATTCAAAATGTAACATTACTAAATTCTAAATTCACAAAGTTAGTTCTACTTCATATTTCATTTTTATACATAGGCCTATATAATTTATTTTTTAATTTTAGCTAAATGTACTTAACATAATAATTTTTTTTTAACTACCCATATGTTAAATTCTTTAAAATTTACCATTGTATTTTTTAAACGTAAACATAACCTTCAGTTTTGTGATGTGTCTAATGATGCCAGCATAGCTAGCAAAAGGCCTCATGTAATTAAACATTTTGAAAATATTGGTGAAGTTTTTATTATTTCAAATTTATATAGAGAATTTGATATTTAACCCTCCCAGTGTTACTTGTCGATTTTTCGACACGCAGACATCGTTTACGGCGAAGGCTCTATGACTGACTGAATCGGATTGAACTGGATCGAGTTAGGTATCGTTCTTTCCGTAATATAAGCTTTCTCCAGAGGTCTGTCTCAGCGCTGTACGTTCTCTGAGCCGATCGTAATTAAAGCTACAATTGTAGCAGACAGCTGACGTGCGTGTATTTGTAAACAGCTAGGTTACTCGGACCGATGACTGATGTGTTTTATTACGTTTATCATTGTTTTAGTGTTAAAAATCAAAAGTAGTGATATACGTGTTGCATTATAAGAAGATTTAAGTGGTTTTGAAGTGCTGGTTGATGATCCTGAAGAAGTAGGTAGTGATATTGATGTAAATTATCAGCCAGATTCCTAGCTATGGTTAGGCTATGCATTCTTAGCTAAACGCTATGTACTGAAATCTGTTTTTTGCCCATAACTTATTTATTTGCAAATCTACTTCCTTATATTATTATATATTTGTAATCCTCATAAAATTTAGAACAAAGTGGCTATTTTCAAATATTTATAGGCCTATAATTTATACAATTTCATTGAGCGCGAACTTATTTTTTTTTTTTAATTTTCGAAATTATATTTTTTTTCACCTAAAAATTTTTTTTTGGAAAAAATGTTCCTTATGTTTTATATATAATATTGAAGCCCATGATTTTCCAAACAAAATGGTATATAGAACATTAGAATTAACATTGTTTTAATCTTCTCAGATCCGTTTTAATAAAACCTTGCAAATGCGCCAAAAATAGGTGGACATTAAGGCCTAAACTATGGACACTTGGAGGGTTAATAGGTAAAATCACAACAGTTGCATTAACGTTTGAACCTTAATTTTTACAGGAATGAGAGATTGCACTATTTTGTTAAGATTTATAAGGACCATCAAAAATACTAATTTCAATCAAAACCGGTTTCCTTTTGAAAATTCTATTTTATTTTTTTTATAGGGTTATAAGGGAAAATAACACGATAACTTTTAAACAGTAATTTTTACAGGAATGGGAGTTCTACCATTTTGTTCAAAATTTAAAGGGCTACAACATAATGAATTGCTATTAAAATAGTTCAGGCTATAAAAAAAAACTTATATTTTTCCGCTATCTTATGGGTTGTTATGGTACAATCACCATTAAAAATCTAAAATTTCAAAAACATTAAAAAACGCCAAGAGATACCACAGGTGTGGTAGGTAGACCCACACACGCTCACACACAGACAGGCATCACTTTGAAAACCAGGGGGGACCCAATAAAAGATAGGCTACAGATAATCATTACTACTTTTTGCAATAATCGTCGTAGCCAAATAAAAGGCACAGATAATCATTTAACTACTTTTTGCAATAATCGTCAAAGGCTAAATAAAAGGCACATAATCATGTTAGCGAATTTCCCTATAGGGAATTAAGTAGCTTTTACCGTAGGTTGTGAAGTGAAAGGTAAAACTCACACCACAGTTAAACATAGATACTTTATTAGCCAAGATCCCAAAAGTAAGTCTTCAAGCTCAAAACAACAATACAATAAAAACAAACATCAAATATGCAACATATGATAACAATTATAAAAATACCAAACAGCACATCTTCTCTTTTCTCTTTTTTTTAGTTTATTTATAAAAATCTGAATCACTGTATCTACGAGGTGGTTTTACACTTCTTTTAGGTCTGTCATTTTCATTGCTATTGTAATTATGTCGAGCATCAGTTTCAGTTCCTTGGTCTTCTTGGTATTGGTGTTCAAATCTATTTTCACCATTTTCAATAGGCCTATGCACAGCTATTATATGTCTCCTGTTCCTTCTGATCTTCCCTGCCTGTGTATTTATCAGGTAGGACCGAGGATGATTTGATTTATTCTCAACATGTCCATAACGTTTAAAATCTGGAATCCAAACTTTGTCATTTTGATCAAGCTGTGAGAGATATCTTACACCTTTCCTTACATCGTAGTTTCTCTTATTTCTTTCCTTGATTGAAAAATCCTTCTCTTTAAACTTTTGCAATCTTTCCCTTGTTACCTGTCTGAAGTTATTTATTGACGGTAATGTTGATCGGAGCTTCCGTGAATAAAGTAACTCTGCAGGTGAAAGACCAGACTCTAAGGGTGTATTTCTATATTCTAACAATCCAAGATTTGGATCACTACATTTCGTTAGAATCCGCTTCGCTATGTCAACTGCTTTTTCTGCTTCTCCGTTTGATTGTGGATACCTTGGGCTTGATGTCACTATACGGAAACCATATTCTTCAGCAAAATTTTTAAAATCCTGAGAAGTAAATTGCGGACCTCCATCAGCTCTTACCACATATGGTACTCCATGTCGAGCAAATATATTTTTCAATCTAGCAACCACAGCCTCAGTAGTCAATGCATCCACATAAACCAGTTCAAGAAATCTAGAATAGTAGTCTTGCACAACTAAATACCATTTCGCATTACATTTCAAAAGGTCAATACCTAAAGACTCCCAGGGATTTTTTGGTAGTTCAGTCAACAGTAAAGGTTCTGATTTGTTACTTCTTTGCTCCAAGCAAACTGGACAATTTGTTACAAGTGTAGCAATATCTGTTGAGCAGCCAGGCCACCACACCGATTCATACACTCGCCTTCGACATTTGACAATTCCCATGTGACCTTCATGTATTTTACTCAGTATTTCCTTTCTCAACGATTTTGGAATAAACAGTCTTGTGCCTAAAAAAGGGAATCCTTTACTGATGTTTAGATCAGTCCTGTACTTCCAATACACCGAATTTTTATTCCAATTGTTATTCACAATCCAGGATTTAATTCTTCCGCATTCCTCATCAGTATCCTGAGCTTCTTTGATTTCCTTGAGCCTTTTGTCAGAACAAGGAATAGCATCTAAAATACTCTGAACAAACAAATCTTGTTCCAATATGTCTTCATGTTCTTCATTTGACTTAATGGGGTTCCTAGACAAAACATCTGGTACATAAAATTCCTTTCCTTTCACATATGTTACTTTATATCTAAAACAAGCCATTCTCATTCTTAACCGCTGAAGTCTTGCCGATAAACTAGCGATTTGTTTACTTCCAAGCACCTGAACTAAAGGTTTATGGTCAGTCATAAGTTCAAACTCGGTTCCTAAAATATACTGTGAAAATCTCTCACATGCCCAAGTCAGTGCCAGTGCCTCCTTTTCTATCTGAGCATAACGCATCTCTGTCGGTGATAAAGATCTCGATGCATAAGTGATTGGTTTCCACTTTCCATCCACAAATTGTTCAATCACCCCTCCTAGGCCAAATGACGAGGCATCAGCTGCAACTCTGGTTTTACGATTTTTGTTGTTAGACACCAGAACTGGATTTGAAGAAATTAGGGATTTAATTTTATCCCAAGCACTCTTTTGAACGTCAGACCAAACCCACTGATAACCTTTCTTAAGTAAAATTCGCAATGGAGCTGTAACTTCAGCCAAGTTAGGGATAAACTTCATCAAATAATTAACCATGCCAAGAAATTGCCGAAGTTCGTTAACATTATTTGGGGTTTGCATTTTCATAATGGCCTCCACTTTCTCAGGATCAGGCTTTGTCAATCCATTTTCAATCAAATGTCCTAGAAATTTAACTCTGTTCACATTAATGTTACATTTATCTTTATTAAGTGTAACATTGTGTTCTCTCAATCTTTGTAATACATTTGCTAGTCAATGGTCATGTTCTTCCTGTGTTCTACCAACCACAAGTATATCATCTGCTTGGTTTACTACCCCATCCAGTCCATCCAAAACTTGGTATATCCTCTTCTGGTAAACCTCAGGGCCAGAATTAATACCGAATGGTAACCTCTTGAAAAAGAATCGCCCAAAAGGAGTTATAAAAGTCGTAAGCTTGTAACTTTCATGATGTAAAGGAACTTGAAGAAATCCATTTGTGGCGTCTAGTAATGAAAATATTTGTCCGCCTTCTAATTTACTAAGACTTTCTTCTACAGTTGGTAGTTGCCACCTTTCTCTCTGAATGCTTTTGTTGAGTTCGGTATAATCAACACATAGCCTCACTCTATCACCTGTCTTACGCGGTACAACAACAATTGGTGCACACCAGTCTGTTGGTTCTACCACTGGCTCAATTATTCCCTCAGAATGCAGTCGATCCAATTCTTCTTTGACTTTGCTCAATAATGGAGCGGACACTCTACGAGGGGCTGCCACAGCAAAGGGACGAGCATTTTGTGTTAGTGCAATTCTGTAGTTTTCCCCTTTCATTTCACCAATAGAACCAAAAACATCAGAAAACTGAGAAAATATTTGGTTAGAGAAAATCGAATCTATGTTGAACTGAATTAGATTTAATTTCAACATTGCATTTCTACTTAAAAGTGGAGTAGGTTGTTGCTCAATGACGTAAATATCTTCTACAATAGATTTATTTCTAAACACTAAAGTAGCAACGATCTTACCAACCACTTTCAACTTAGTTTTCCCCGGACCAAATAATATTTTACTTGTTTCACTCGTTTCCAGTTTTAACTCCTTGCAAAGATCATATCCAATTATAGAAACATCTGCTCCAGTGTCTAACTTAAAATAAATATCATGCCCCTTAACATTAAGTTTTACTTTACAAGGATTTTGTCCTCCAACCTCTTCTATGGTCAATTCCCCTAAATAGGTTTTAGGTTTTTCTAATGGTTCATTACTGTTATTAATTTCTCTCACTTCAAATCCTTTGGTACAACATCTCACATAGTGTCCCTTTATTCCACATTTGAAACATGTAGACTGATTGGCAGGACAATCATTGTTATTGTGATGCCCAACAAATCCACATTTGTTACATTTACCTTTCTTTGAAAAGCTTTGATCTTGACTTTTATTGCAAGAACTGTCTCTAAACCGATGTTTAGTGGATTGATTAATCCCCTTATTGACAAACTCAATTTCTGGTGATTCCCTCACTACTTTTTGTTGTTGTTTTAAACTCTCTGCTTGTCTTGCTTTCAAAATTGCTGTACTTAAGGTTAATTTTTCATCCAACTGTAAATTTTGAGAAAGTTTATCATCATTTACCCCAATTACTATCAAACCTCTAATTAGTTCATCTTTTAATTCCCCAAGTTTACATCGCTCTGCCAGTTTGTGTAAACTATTTATAAAAGAATCAACAGGTTCCCCCTCAGACTGACGTCTTTTTAGAAATTTAGCTCTCTCATATACAATATTGATTTTGAAACCTAGGTAAGACTCAAATCTACCCTTGACAGTGTCATAACTCTGTAATTCTTCATCTTTTAATCCGAAAGATGTTAGAAGGTCTTCTCCTTCATCTCCTAGACAGTATAAACCCACATAGCACCAGATATTTATTTGATATCAAATAGCTATCAAATTTTTGACATTTGAATATCAAATTGATATTCACGAACATTCGTTTGATATCAAATAAACGTTCAATTTAGGTTCAAACGTCACTCAATTTTACATCAAATAAATATTCAAATTGAATATAAAATAAATATCAAATTTGACATTCATAAATTTATTGGTAAACTATAATAAAGAGAATATGATTGAATTTACATTCACATTTTAAATATGATGGTGATAAATATTGATATAAGATTTTTGACATTCGAATATTAAATTAATATTCGCGAACATTCATTTGATATCAAATAAATGGTCAATTTAGGTCCAACCTCACTTAATTTGACATTAAATAAATATTAAATTGAATATCAAATAAATGTCTCATACATTCATTGGTAAAATATGTTTAGAAGAATTAGGTTGCATTTTTTCACATTTCAAATTTCATGGCGATTAAAATAATATCAGTTCAGACTTCTTTACTGTTCTTACCTTGATTTGACTTATTATTCTGAAGTTATAGGTAGTTTGTTAAAGTTCTTGGGTGACCCAAAAATGTAAATATATATATATATTTCTCTTTTGACAAAACATTAACAAAAGTATCACAAAACATATTTGTTTAAAACAAAATTGCATTCAAGGAAAACATTTTAAAGAAAAAACTTTGTTTGTATGATAAAATAATTTTAATTAAAAATTATTTAAACACAAATATAAAAAAGATATGTACAATTTACAAAAAAAATAATTCTGGTCTTCTTCATCTCCCAAATGGCCTTCTTGAGTTTTCTATTGTTCCTGTAAAAGAGGTTTAACAGAGTTATTTTCTAAGACAGCTATAGATAAAATATAATATGTTAGACAAGGGGTCTCCAACCCTTTTTCCTCGGTGAGCACTTTTTTGTCTAAAAACGCCACCGATTTAGCGACTAACGTTAATTGTTCGCTACTCTATCGAATCACAACATCATCTACTATCGATGCGGTTGTAGTTGTCGTTTGTCACAAGGTAAAGGCTTTTTGTGATACGGACGAAATGAGAGCATTCTATTATAAAATTAAAATGTTGTAACCTAACCAAATTAACCAAACTTGCTGATTGTGAAAAAATTGAATTAAGGTTTACTACGGACAAAATGAGAGCATTCTATTATAAAATTAAACTGTCATAAGCTAACCTAACTTGCTGATGATATAAAAAAATATACAAGATAAAAATTGAATGAAGATTAGATTTAACAAGGTTAGGTTTGCAGCCATGGAGAAGGTAAAAAGTTTTTTTGAGCATACGTCAATAGTACAGGATAAAGTAAATAAGTTTGCCAAATTTTATCAAAATCTATCCATAAACAAATAAACTACATAGTTTCCTTTTTTAATAATCTAAAATATAGTTCTGTTCATAAAATAAAATTATAAATGCCTCTAATTCTAACGAAAGATGTGCAATTAAGAAGCAATCACATTCTAAGCTAAATCTTTGACAAAAAGTTCAATGATTTTTTAGTGAGAATAGGCTATAAAATTTGACACTTAAAATGTCAGCTAGTTTAAGATTTCAATTTGTAGTTCTGCCAATTAGGATCAATTAAAAATATATATATTTAAATTAATCTGCCGCTACTTGACTACTACTAATATTCCCCTAGGCCTATTGAGAAAAAATTAGCAAGTGAGAGACATTTACTATGTTCCTATTTAAATACGTTAACCTGCCAACTTGGAGACAGGGTATTGTACACAAATTTTGTTGAATGGGGAAGAGACAGTTAATTGCTCTTAATTATGGTATGAGCCGCGAGGTAAATAAATATCCCATGGCTGAGCCTGCATTCATTGACAAAGTTCTCTTTTTACACCTCAAGGAAATCACGGTCAACAATGAAGGGTGTTGCTGGGATTGCAAAAGACAATCACGGCACCGTCGAGACTGCAGTATAATATGCTCGTGAGTCTTGGCGAGATCACGGGAGATGATCACGATATAGCTGAGACCACCTGACCACACGTGTTTACGCAATCGTGGGAGAATATAATTGGTGTTTGCTATAAAAAATAATAATTTTCAAAAACGTATGCTGGCTTTCTGCTGGCTGGAATAAAACTGCACGAGGGCCGGATGTAGCCCACAGGCTGTAGGTTGGAGACCCCTTCGTTAGGCATTTTTAAGACCTATTTTTTTACTATACCTGTACTTTATAGTTAAATTTGTCGATAAGGCATTGAGTTCTTGACAATAAAGAAAAAAGAGATGGATAAAACCGCAGATTAAGTTTTGCTCATTTGCATAGCCTGTCACTGAAAATTCACAATTTGAAAAGAAAACATCACAGTAGTTAGATGTCGGCCTAATCTGTTAATTATAATAAAATGTAAGTTCTATATTAGGTAATTAGATAAGCAATCTTTTCTTTAACCTAAATTATAAATAACACAATAAATTTACCTTGCATCAATCCTAAACTTTGCTGGGCGAAGCCAATTCTTGATTATAGTAGCAACAACATATATTTCCATTACACCACGATCCTAGTGTTCTTGCGTACCGGTTCTGCCTCTGTATAAAAGAGATTAGTATTAGCACTAGAATTTGTATATATTTTAATTTTCATGATCAACACCCAGGATAGCCTACAACTAGGATATTTGTTAGTGAAATCTATTTTATATTTTGATGGCATTTGCTTCTTTTGAGTAGCCTTGTTAAAGCTAAATCTAAATCTGAAAATTGAAAATTTTGACCTAGGTAGTGGTAAAAGTAATCCTCAGTCACTTGAACGGACAAATATTGGGGTGAGCACTGACTGAAATGAGTGCAACGGTCGGATGTAGTTTGGTGTGTGTATAGGCCTATGTGTGCGTTTAAAAAAATTCAACTAATACAGTTTTCTTTTACACAAGTTAGCACTGCCGGAATATTTATATAGTGTAAATCAAAGACTTCCTATATAAGTGGGTCACAAAAAAGAGAAACTCTCTTAACTGTGTGATGAACCTTAGGCTACGTTATTACCCAATAGGTACCTATCATGAATTAGGTTGTGTTTTGGTGGTAGAGCCTAACTTATCTACAGTTCCTAAGAGAACCTGCGATATATTATCGGACGGTATATATATCTGATTTTATATTAATATTGCAAAACCAATTCACCAAATCTGCAAATCATAACTCAATTTGATGTTTACATAGTGAAAAAACATAGGGAACGATGTATTGAATCGGATAATTATTGATATATAATGTTATTCATCCGATAATATATCGCAGGTTCTCTGCGGAACTGTACCCGTTATGGCAAAAAAGACATACACAGTCATGGCGAATCAAACAGAAAAATTGAACTAAAAACACCTAAGATTGAAACTTTATTTTAACTTTGAGAAAACGTAATTAAAATATATGTGTGTCTACCTATTATTAATGTCTGATTGTAAATAAAAAAAAAACTTACGCAAGATAGCTGGCTTCAGATGCAGATTGCAAAAGAAAAATTTATTCCTCCTTCCCAGCCTACAGGCTGCTAGACAGCCACTTTGTCACTCGGGAGAATTGGTACCGTAGGCAAATTATTCACTGCTACCAAATAATAACTTCCACCAAAGCTGCAGAGTTATCAACTGAAACAATGGAGAGAAAACTACTTTTAGTTAAATTCATGCATACCTTTCTCTGGCCTAAATATGTATCAAGATTAGTTAGGCCTAATCATTGGTTGGTAAAGGAAGCAGACAACAACTAAAATACAAAAGACTAAGAGACAATACAGGGGTAGACTTTCGTATCTGTTGTCAAAAACAACCAAATTAAAATATCGATCGTTATAGCCTATGTTCATTCTGTTGTTTTTGACAACAGATACGGAAGTGTACCCCAATTCAGTTATAAAGGAAAA